TGGGAAAATTCTTCTTCTACCAGTCCTTCATTACCTTAAACGAAATTGGGTGAATACATTTCATATTACTTTAAACGAAATATGTAGAATACATCTCATATAATTGAAAGTAGTTGTGAGTATATCCGTGTGTAAAATAACACGAAGGACCAAAGCCCAACTGGTTTTCACCTCAACCGATGGAGGACGCCCCGTGGACTGTTTCAATCTGAGCTTCGAGGTCAAATCAAACGGTTTCAGAACAGTGGGAATTAACCGCAGTCTTATGATGACGTCGATATACAAAACTCTTCATCATCAACTTATATACGCTATTTAAGTTTCGACAAAAAAATAATTGTGTCCCTACAATAGAATACGTTACTTATATTTCATATGTGTCCCCAAATCTTCTCAGCTGACCGAGAGTGTCATAATCCAGGAACGAATTAGAATTTTATTTTTCACTATTATTCTTTAATCTTCTCAATAAGTATAGTACAGCTAGTTCACTTATTCTGTAGCCTATTCCAAGGTCACCGTAGTATTACGATCACACCCAAACCTTGCATTTTCAGCAGACAATATTCACGGGAAAAGTTAGTATATAGTGCTCAGTGATCTTATTTAAAATGTGTGAAAAATATTAACATACAATTATGTCATGCAATGTTGTTGATAGAGAAAGTGTCTCATAAATGAAATCATTCTCTCTCGCAGGGAGACATTGGCATAATCTCATTCAGAATTGCTTAGGGAATCACGCAATTATACTGATTTAAGACCGATATTACGTACAGATATTGACACACGCGCAAAGGCACATACACACAAAACACTTAAGTAAAAGTAGCGTGACTGAAATGGAAGATAACTAACCTAATCACTTTATATTTATCTATATCTATATAGTATAGTTTTTTAGTTATGAGTATACGCACGATGTAAGATAGAGCCGGACAGTTCTCTTGACCCAATGATAATTTGAAGCTATTAAAAGAATGAGTTCCAGCTCTGATGATGGACCTGAGCTTAGCCCAGTTTTACTCGAAACGAAGAGGGATGTCTCGTGGACTGCGCCAAAATGAGCATAGTATTAAAGCCAAACTGTCGCATAACGACGGGAATAGGTCATCGTCTTTAGGTGAGATCAACCAGCGAATCACTGCATGCGTTTTAATACAGAATGAAAGTCTTTCCTACAGTGCCATCTTAAGAGATTAATCGGAACCCAACTACTCTTCGTATCATTACGATCTCTCGCAGGAACTCATATTTCCTGGGCTCAGCCTTTTCGGAAGACTGTAAGCATTGCTCTCTGATTTCATTTCAACAGTTGTCTAAAATTTGTGAAAAAATATTTCTCTAAAACTCTGCCACGTAATGCTGTCTGATAACTATCGTCATTCCAGCCTACTGAAAAAGAGTCCCATTAAAAAGTAGCATAAACCAATGCTGCAAGAGAATGTAGTGATTTTGTACCACGGAATTGTCGATATTAGATTTTATATCCTTGGAGGACATAAGAAGAATTTGGGTATTAAATCGCATTTTTTTCAGCTCTCTCAACAGAAGTAGTGATAGCGTCTCTTTAAGTGGCTGAAGAGGAAAGTGAAAATGGATTATTCTATGCGTCAAGACTTATCCAAGCATTACTGACAATTTCTAAATATGATGGCGACTAGAATAAGTAACTTTTGCGATTTTAATGACATCGTAAGATCAACGCATCTCATTGTGGGAAAATTCAATTCTCAGTCCTAAAATCGCTTTTATCTATTTACGTGACTAAGGTGATAGTCTCGAATACTACTCCTATCTCTAATAAGTAGCGCCGTTTATTGCAACGGCAAACGCACACAATAAACAGGCCTCACTTTGGTTCCCGTTGCGGCAACTGATAAGGCATCTTGTACAAGATGGAGACTGCAGTCCTTAGGGTAGGACACTTTTTGAGAGTGTCAAGACTAAATGAACTTGGCTGGCAGCGAAATACGTACTCCTTAGATTGTGGGAAATTCAACAATCGGACCTTAAATCCTTTAAATCGCTCATTCTCATTAAAGCCTCCTTAGATGACAGAGCATTTATTCAAGCATTAATGATAATTTCAAAGCAATGAAACACTAATTGGCTATGAGCGACTGGGATTTAAGGGATGGCTACTTCAAGTGGCCAATTTCGCGTGCCACAATAGTCTG